CGGTTCCAAAACCATAAAAGGAACTGGAATAGGAGTGTATGAGCCGAGAACCAAGCACTCCGAAAGCTTGGGAAAATACCCAAGCATCTTCCAGGCGGAAATTCACGCCATCGAGAAGTGTTTCCAGTTTAACATCGAGAGAAACTATCATAGACAAGAGATTATCATCATGTCCGATAGTCAAGCAGCCATCAAAGCGCTGAGTTCTTACGTAATCAGCTCAAAAATGGTCTGGAGATGCCTAGATCAATTTGAATGAGCTAGGCGAGAAAAATAGAGTTACTCTCACTTGGGTCCCCGGGACATAACGGAGTACAGGGTAACGAGATTGCAGATAGTCTTGCGAGGAAAGGGGCTCAAACACTCTTTGTAGGACCTGAGCCGTTCTGCGGTATCAGCAGTAACATAATATTAGGAGAGATAAAAAAGAATTGGGTAGTAGAAGAACCGATAATTGGAATAATCTCTTGGGGGCTGAGACAGGCCAAGATACTTCTGGGTGAATATATCCAAAAAAGATCGTAAGCCTGTATCTGCCTGAGCAAGAACAGGCTACGTATTGTAACAGGGATCCATCCGGGCATTGCCGACTAAAAGGACACCTAAGTAGTAGATGATAATATGTGCAGATTCTGTGAGGAGGAGGACGAAACCTCCATTCACCTCCTAACTGAATGTTGTAGCACTCCAGAATCCAAGGGCACTATATCTAGGAGGATATCAAATTGAAGAGGGAGATTTACCTAACTTGAAGCCACTTCAAATCATACACTTCCTTGAGAAAATAGGATTGGAAGGGTCGCTATAGGCATTGAGACATTTCCTTAGTGCAGTGGCGACAGAAGGGGGCTCAATAGATCTTTTAGGTCGCAGTGTATTAACACCCCATTCTCAACATAACATAAGTACCGTGGAGAATCTGATTACTTTTTAGGAAAGAAGAAAATAAATTAATAGTATTGTGATACTTAAATGTTAAAACTGTCGAAATAAATTACTTTTGGCAAACAAAAACAAAGTCAGAGTTTTCAAAGATTTAAAATATGGTTTTATATTAATAAATAATTTTAATTTACAAAATAGATTTGATTTTAAATATAAATAATTATGATACAAAAAGGTATATTTATATTTTATTAAATTTATATTTAAATTATTATTCGAAAGATTTTATTTATAGGTATAAAAATTATAAATTGAAAATAGGCGGTATTATTTTAAAAACCGTAATAATATCTAGAACCTACTATCCTCCTATATTTTATCTATAAGATAACTCACCTTTCTCATAGTTCTTTATACAATGCTAATATGTTGAGCGGAATATTAAAAGAGCTATCTGAAATCAGTAGTAAACATAAAGAAAATACTTTAATTCAAAGTTAAACGAATGACTGTAATATTATACTCAAGCAAACGATATGGACCATCCTATAAAAATATGCAATCTGCTTCCGGCAAACCAAAAAAAAAAGTAACACGAGCAACTGCGCGGAGTAATCTCTCAGGGGTTATTTTTCTACCATATAAGCCCATCCGGATTCAAACGGTTAATTCAGAATATTTTACCGAGCGATAGGTGGAGCGTCCGGTCGGTCGGATAGCATCAGGGATAGATTTCTAAATGTATGAATCCGACAGAGCAATTCGAGGTAATTGCTGTGTGTCCGCGTGTGTCCAATTCCATGTCCGTTCGCTAAACGGATTCGACTGGAAACCCGTTGGTCTGGAATAGTCTAATATAGTACATGGGCTCCTTTCAGACGCTTATCCGGATAAGTAGATAAGTCAGTTGGTTTGTCAAATTATTGGAAACCGTTGAATTTGCTAATGAGGTAGAAACTGAATGAACAAATATTCAAATAAATTGTTTTAGTTATGTATTACTTTGGATAAACAAATGAAATATAGTAATATGGTGAATTCTTGGATGACAGTCTTGCATGCTTTGTGGGTTCGGGATGAGTTCAGCTTTAGGAAAAATTTGGGTTATGCATATTTTTTGTGGATATAATAAGATTGCCAAGTAGAAGATAGAATTGACAGACGGGGAAAGAAGAAAAAAGAAGAAAAAGAAGAAGAAAGAAGAAAAAGAAGAAAAAGAAGAAAAAGAAGAAAAAGAAGAAAAAGAAGAAAAAGAAGAGAAAAGAAGAAAAAGAAAGAAAAAGAAGAAAAAGAAGAAAAAGAAGAAAAAGAAGAAAAAGAAGAAAAAGGAAAAGAAGAAAAAGAAGGAAAAAGAAGAAGAGAAAAGAAGAAAAAGAAGAAAAAGAAGAAAAAGAAGAAAAAGAAGAAAAAGAAGAAAAAGAAGAAAAAGAAGAAAAAGAAGAAAAAGAAGAAAAAGAAGAAAAAGAAGAAAAAGAAGAAAAAGAGAGAAAAAGAAGAAAAAGAAGAAAAAGAAGAAAGAAGGAAGAAAAAGAAGAAAAAGAAGAAAAGAAAGAAAAGAAGGGAAAAAGAAGGAAAAAGAAGAAAAAGAAGAGAAAAGAAGAAAAAGAAGAAAAAAGAAAGAAAGAAAGAAGGAAAAAGAAGAAAAAGAAGAAAAAGGAAGAAAAAGAAGAAAAGAAGAAAAAGAAGAGAAAAGAAGAAAAAGAAGAAAAGAAGAAAAAAAGAAGAAAAAGAAGAAAAAGAAGAAAAAGAAGAAAAAGAAGAAAAAGAAGAAAAAGAAGAAAAAGAAGAAGAAAGAAGAAAAAGAAGAAAAAGAAGAAAAAGAAGAAAAAGAAGAAAAAGAAGAAAAAAAGAAGGAAAAGAAGAAAAAATCGGGCGAATTTAAAAATATTTGCTTCTTTTTTAAATTACAAAGATCACTAGCAAGAGAAAACGAAAGAAGGATATTTTGTATACTTTATATATTTAAGTTACTTTTACTTATAAGTTTTTCTAATGATATATAAGAAAAATAATTAGAGCCTGAAAATTAAATAATATTTATATCCTTGTTTAGAAATAAAGAATTCATTCTGCTTCTTAAAATAACCCTATTATAGTTTATAGGTTGTTAGCGCGCCATTTTTTTTATTATTATCTTTAAAGCATAATTTTTTGTAGCAAAACTTTGTTGCTAATTTTAAGAGTAAATTTTACGCATTGTTGTCTTTTTTCCATTGACAAAAAAAAAAATAATCCGCCCTGAAATTTTGAGCTAACCGTCTAAACTTATACCTTACGGCATCCAATATTTCCGCTCGATCAGACTTATTGACATTGTTTTCGACATTAACTGTTGGGTTCATTCATCATTACATGAAACTAACTTACAATTGTTACAATATAACTAGGTTTAGAGACGACGAATGTTCTTTACGGCTCAGCTATTGCAGGGAATTTATTAATTCTGGTGCCTGGCGTCGCAGGAATCGCAGGATTATTTGTTCCTTAGAAGTCCCGGGGAGATATTTCGAATATCTGGCAGTGCTACTGTGTTTGAAGTTAGTATCCCGATGGAAGTTTAATTGTTTGAAAGTTTTTTATTGCCGAAGACTCAGGTGATTGCGACATCTGCAGAAATACTTTTGTCGTTGATCTTTTTTATGAGGTAGGTATTAGAGAAATTCATAAAGAAAAGTTACATTGAAGAGTATATTACGGAATTGTTGCCGAAGAATTCGTCCTTATATTGTTTTAATAAAAAGTATAAAAGTTTCTTTAGAGTTTCGAAATTGGACTACTGCAGTCGGTGTAAAAGAAATATGCTTGAAAAGGATAAAAATAAAATAACACTATAAATGGAGTTAAGCAGAATAAGTATTTCGATATTTCGAAACAATCGTATAGTTAGTTTAATTGTTGAAATATTTAATTTTGTTTAAAATGTAGTGAGGTAATATAGTACAATTTAAAACATTGTAGGAACAGAATTCATTCTCGTAAAATGTCCATTTCATAAAAAAAAAAATAAAGAGGCGACTTAACTCAATTTTAACGGTTTTAATACAAGGTATCTTTAAATTTGTAAAATTTCATCTTTAGTTGTTTTTTGGTCCCAAATCATGTACCGTAAGTAGGTATGACCAAATCTAAAAGTATAAAAAGTATTATAGTAATGTATAATTATGAAAATATGCCTACCTATAGAAATAATAAAAATATACTTATATGAGAATTATTCGAAAAAGGTATGAACTTTGAACAGCATCTACATTTTAAGGAGGTCCCTTTCGCTTCAGATTAGTCAAAATAACTGTAGTAGTAAAAATTCTTAAAATTAGTATAAAAAACCCATAAAAATTCTTAAAATTAATTAATAAATAGTATATAAGGCATTAATAACTGGAATTTTGAAAAATTATAAAAAAAAATAATTAAATATAAAACTTAGTTTGACTCTTGTCAATCAGCCCTTCGTGATTTGGCAACGCTGTCTTTCTGTGTTTACATTTCCATTCACACAATATAACCTTAACCACGTTTAATCTTTTGCTGTCAGATTCATAGTAAATGAATTAATTAATTAAAAATGTTTTCAAAATAGTATCCGAATGTCTCATGGCAAGAATGCTGGGAAATTCGTCAGTTTAAAACGTAAGCAATGGCGTGATAATTTAGTGACTGCAAAAAAAAGAAAAATCGAAAAAAATCCTGCTCCTCAAGATATTTACATTTACGTCAGTAACCGAGTGATAGAAGTTCAATCGATTGCCAATGATTTGTGGTGTAATAAATGTAATTTACCGATATCTTTGAAACACATTGTCGAAGAGGAAATTTTGGGGTTAGCAAGTATTTTTTCATGTGAGATGCATTAAATGTAATAACATCCACTTGGTTTATACAAGTAGTTTTAAAACTAATGATAAAATTCGCAAACAATTTTGACATGAATTTGAGACTAGCTTTTGGTAAGTATTAATTAAATAAATATATACTCTACGTGCATAGTTAAATATTTATTGTTAAAATTTTCATTCATTAACACTTATTTAAAATAAAAATTTCAGCTTTTAATTGATGCAGGGATCGGAGAAGCCCATATCAATACAATTCTTTCTGCGTTGGATATACCAATAGTAAACAGTGCATTGCTAAAAAGATATGAAAGAATTGTTGGAGCAGCTATTGAACAAGTAGCCGAGGATAGTTGTCGAGATTTTATACGTCTCGAAAAGAATTAGCAACAGATGCTAATAGAAAACAATCCTCCGGTACAACGTACGTAAAATTTACTTATACAATTCTAATAAATATTATCAATATGAACATCATTTCTCAATAAACATCAACTTTTTTAATTTTTTTATTTAAACATATGCATGATTTTCTACGTGTTACTCGATTGTTAACTGATGTGTCATCTCTCTATTACTGATAAAAAAAAGAGCATGATATGTAAATAATACAAAATAAATAGATTTTAATGGATTAACAATTATTTAACAGGAAACATCGAGGTAAAATCAGCATAAAGTTTAATGAATTTATTTTCAATCTAAAATGAACCGTTAGAATTGGAAATAAATACAGCATCATGACAGTTTTATAAAAGGTAACTTTTTAACAACTAAAAATTATTATATACCATGTGACTATTCCAGTGATACTCCTTTGGGTTATCCATGATCCTAATGAGAATCCTAATCCTACTGACCCTCCTACTCCGACACCTATAAAAGCTTCCAGAGATACTGCATAGACTAAACGAGCATCAGGCCATTCTTACAATAGAAAAAACGGTATATTCATGTCATACAATCATACTATAATTGCATATTAACTCACGTATAAATATATATACCATGATAGAGAGATGTTTATTAAAATAAATGATTTTGTTCCAGGATATACGTCACTGATCGGGTACTATAGTGGTAAAGTAATTTCTTACAATACTCGTTCAACAAGATGCTCAAGATGTGAACACGGTCATACAAAAAGTGATCATGATTGTCGAAAAAATTTTGATGGCTCTGCACGAGCCATGGAACCTGATATGTCCGTAGATTTAGTTACAAATAATAAACTGTTGAAGGAAGAAAATGTGATTATTTCTGTTTTAATTGGTGACGATGACTCTTCAGCAATAGCTGCAGTTCGTCAAGAAGCATCACATGAAGTTGAAAAATGGTCAGATACGAATCACGCCAAAAAGAATTTAACTTCACGTTTGTATAAATTGAGTTTATCCGCAAAGGTTGTTAATTATTTCGGTCAACTTTTTGTCCGTGTTTTAAATCACCACAAAGGTAATGTAGAAGATACTGCTGAAGCTTTAAAAAATATTGTTCCTCATGCATATGGGACCCACGATAAATGCAAAGAGTGGTTAAAATGTCACGAAAAAGACAATAATTTTATTTACAAAGATTTGCCTAAAAAAACAACCTTTAACTGACCCAAAGCTATCCGATAATCTCACTGTAATATTTGATAAGCTGTTAGGTAATGCAGCAAAGTTAGCACCATGTGGTTGATCTCAAAGCAATGAATCTTTCAACAACATTGTGATTAGTAAACATCCAAAAAATAAATTATGTACATGCTTCCTACAAAAATGAATCCTAATGCATCAGCTGTGACAGCACTTCATTTAAAGCAAAACAAATTATATCTACATAATACTTGTCTCGAAACTTTGTCTATTGAAGATGGCTTGAAAAGTTTTATAGCTTAAAAAAAAAAACTAAAAAGAATGTAATTCTAGAAGCTCACAATGCATTTAGATTTGATGCTTTATTGATATTGCGCCATTTAAAATATTATGGTTTATTGAATGAATTTTTATCGATTGTAAAAGGTTTCTCAGATACTCTTCTTATTTTACCTGAAAATAAAAATGAGAAAAATGGATTCAAGCTCACTAATTTGGCCATAAAATTTTTTGGTGATAAATCTATTGAAGGTGCTCATAATGGTGAAACGGATGTCCGAATTTTAAAAGAAGTTTTACAAGCTGTCGAGATAAAAGATGAGCTGGTAAAACAAATGGCTCGAACGACAATAAAAGTATTCTCGAAAAAAAACAAACAGATCCCATTTTAGAAAAAAATAAATTAAGTTTAATGAAATTAAGACCGGAGGTATCTAATATTTTTATTACAAAAATGGCTAATTCTGGTCTTTCATTAGAAATACTAGAAAAAGCTTTCGTTACAAGTGGTGAAGCCGGGATAAAATTATTATTGTCGGAAAATGTTGGTAAAAAACCACGGGTTACTAACACACCAAAACATTTAAATAATATTATGAAAAAGTTAACACTTGTTTTGCAAAAATATGAATAATAATATTGCTGATTGTTACAAAATTATAAATAATTAATAATTGTTACTATCAATTTTGCAGTAAATGTAATCTTCATGTAATTTTAATGAAAATATTCTTATTACAACAAATTGTAATTTTTAAAATAATTAAATTTACACTATTCATAAAAAAATTGTTTTTAATTTACTCATTTGTGTCGTAATTTTATTTAAATAATATAAAAAATTATAATAAATATTGTGTAAGTATATCTCATTATGATGAATAAATAAATAATTAGATAGTACTCTAATAAGCTAATATTTTTCATTTATTGTTATATTTTTAATTATGTAATAAAAACATTTGGTAAAAATAAATAAATTAATAATTATAAATGAAAAACATAATTTCATTAAAGTATACACTGAATGTATTCAATGGTCTGAAGCTCGCGCGCTACGCAACGTTGCCAAATGTTTCGACTCCATTTTAAGCTAGGTTACTTGAATATTTTTTCTGATTTTTAAATATTAATTTCTCAATAAATTCCACGGTAACCTATATATTTTATTGTAAAAAACAAAACTTAAATATTTCAAAACCCTTATTTTTAGTTTTTTTTTCTACTCCATCTAATCAATAAATAATAGTATAATTCGAGAATTATTGTTGAGGTCTTACTTTCTCGTAAGACACTGTACAAATACTCATATTTTTAAAAAAAAAATTCTCAAAAATTTGCACGGTAAGGTATAGTTAAAAATTCACTATTAGATAAATAAGGACTTCAACTATTAGAAAAAAATTAATTTTGGTCATAATCTAATATTTTTTATTTAACATTGGTGGCGAAAGGACCTCCTTAAGCGATGCAAACCCAAATTTATCGGTTTGGTTTGGTTGAAAGTGAGTGGAATGATCTCATTGCTTTCCACTGCGACACAAATGGCTATATAGTATCTCGTGTCTAACCTATATTTCACCGTAGAATCCGATTATAAGTCATAAACATTCCTTTAAATTTTTAATACATATCTATAAATATCAATAAATAAAGAATAAGTAAGTTTTTAGGTAAAAAAAATATCCCTATATTTCTGTGATATTAATACCCCCAGTAGGCGGCGATAGCCAATTAATTACTTTGCCAAATGATGACGCAGTTTTGTTCTTCTTATTGTAATCGGACCCTATAAGCTACATCTTTTGTAAGAGGTCATGGTTGAATTGTGTGAGACTTGTTTAAAATCGGTAGGCTCCAGTCTGGTGAATCCTAAAATCTGGAACCTAGTTCTTTCCAAAGCGGAGCAGTTAGATAAAATGTGCTCTACAGTTTTGTCTTACACGCTGCAGAATCGACAGTCCGATGTTTGTTGCAGACCTATCCTTCTTATGTGATTACCCAGATGACAATTTCCAGTCATCAGTCCCGTGAAAATGCGCAGATCTGTCCTATTCCATTGGTTATAAAACACCTTCAAATGAGTTAGTCCTGGTGTATATATCCAGTTCGTAAGTGTTGTATTCTCCCTCCATTTTGCGATAATTCCTTTGGCAGTGCTCTTTGCAATGCTCAGGAATGGTTCTCTAATAGCACAGTATTGTTACACGAACGTTCCAGAAACATAAAATTGGGACAATAGGAACGTCTCCATAAACCTATAGGCAAATATTACCAATCATAAAATTTAACCACAAATTTTCCTATCATACCTTAAATCAATTTAAACCGATTAAGTAAGTTTCTTATTCTCTCTTAAACATACCTGAGATGTTTCTGGCAATGACTATGTCATGATTAGAGACATTTCACAGATACGTCTGTGGATGTTGCTCAAACGTCTTAGGTAAGTTTGTTATACTATTGCTATACGCTTTTTTAGTAGGATAACCCATGGTAAAAAAATAAAAGGTAGGATATCAACAGTGACAAAAATGGGACGGCCACGCGCATGACGTCACGCGTAGAGTTTGTATTGGCGCGAATTTAAAAATACTGACGAAGTGTAAGGAAAATAAATGCTACTTACAGAAATTTCATAACATATTAAAGGATAATATTTTAGAAATTTAAGGATATTATTATAGGATAGTTATGGAAAATAAATTTAAATACATACATAGAAGGAGTATTTATTTTAAGTAACAGTTTCTTTCCTTCTTACTTTTTATTGATTTATTTTTATTATATACATTCGAATTTAGATTTTTAATTTTGAAGAAGATTCGACTTCTAACGAATAATTTCCATAGCCAGTATAATGAAAAGGATATCTTCGCAACTTGCAACTTTTCAACTGGGAAAACTAGGTATCCTCATAAGTGGAGAGGCACCTTCTAGCTCGTGAGCCAGCCTACAGAATTAATGTAGTTGACAACGTCGCCAAGAGGTGCTTCTCTTATATCTGCTGATGTTATCCAATTTTCGCCCGAACACAAATCTTCTAATATATGAAAGCGTCGGAAAATCGTATATGATATGGTTGATGGTCTCATATTCTTGTTTGCGTATTCTGGCAGTTCAATGATACTGAGATGCTTGCGTAGTTGGCAATGTCAAGTCAGAATACCTGTGATTAGACGCAGATTCTGTCTAGTAGTCACAGTCAAGTATTTGTTTGCTGTAGTGTTGTCAGTATAACTTAAAAGCTTCCTGGTAAGTCTGCAGCTTCATTTTTCATCCCATCTTTCCTTGAATTTCACAAGGGAATATTCTTTAATGAGGCTTCTCACTACCAATGTTGTCAGTCCAATAAAAGGGCCAGGTCTAAAAACTGTTTTGTAACTGCTTCTTGGCAAGTGAATCAGCAAGACGGTTACCTTTTGATGTGACGTGACCTTTGATTCATCTTAAGTTGACTACATTGTTGATACCAAAGCTTTGTGATATTCTAGTACTAACCCAGGTCTGTCCAGGGTGAGTAGTGCTTATCTATTTATAATAACTAAATCAATTAAACAAATTGAAATCACAAATCATTGCAACCAAGTTTAACAATATCAATATATTCACAATTACTGTTAGTTATTTTCTGCCATGACACCTTGCCCACCCCACAACACCTGTCATCTGTCATTAGACTCCCACCATCAAATCTACCACACGACTGCATCACTGAAGTGGAGGTGGTTGATTTTACTAATACCCCTATCTTGCACATAGGAGTTTACCCCCTTGCGTTCGAGTTCTAATTTGAAGCATGCGACAGACGTGCTGCATTACATTCTATTTAGCACTTTCATATCTATATTAAGAATACCGAACTATCATCAAAAATGCCACTCATAATCGGACAGACCTGAGAGAGAAGGATATTATTGCAGCCTTTGTCATTTAAGAGGCCTGTGGCTTTTTCTAAGTTGATTTGTACTTTAGCCAGTATCATCATAATGGGGCATGTTCCAAAATTTTCGCTACTTCAATCTCCTGGCTATTCTTAATACGAACAGTCTAAAAAATATTAACAATTCTCCACCGGATGCTTTTGTATTGATAACCATTGTTTTACATTACCTTTTACTTGTAATAAATTTGCCTAACACCAATTTTAAATATTATTTATTGAAACATCTGTAATATTTCCCACTCATACTAGTACAATATACAAAAAAAAAACACATATTTTATATTTTCTTCAATGCCTATTATTATTATTATTATTTTATCTAATATTCATCGCAAACTGCGTTGGCACGACACTGGACGACCGGGCGTTGAGCGACATTCCAAAAATTGCAAAATTAAGTGGGCACAGGGCACAGTAAATGTGTGCCTCTGTTGATTTCTCTCTCATTATGATGCGAAAAACACGGACAACGGCAATACCGCTTAGCAAGAGATGAGAACACATGCGATAGATTATACGTCACAAGCAGGGCGCTGCCCTTTCTCATCGTGACGTGCTGTACTCATGGCATAGATTACCTAGACCAGATAGGTGCGCGTTTGTTGGACCATGATAATAATTTATTTATTGTGATTACGAAAAAACGTTAGTTGGACCTTTGGAATATTTAAGAAATAAAACTACAAACAAAAATAACTTTTTTTTTATAAAGCAGTCAAAAATATGATGAAAAAAAATCAATAATATTTATAAATGGGACAATATTTTAATTTTTTTTTGGTTTTGTCTGACTTTTTCG